TATCGGACCACTATGACATAGAGCTGCCATACAAACTGAACGATCGGAATCAAGTTCTTGTACGGAAAATTTGCACATTTCACAATTTATTTTCATAAAAGTTGGCACAGGTTATTTTCTAAAGCAAAAATATAATTTCCGAAGAAATTGTTCAAGCCGGTTAACTATAGTATATAGCTGCCATACAAACTGAACGATCGGAATCAAGTTTTTGTATGGAAAATTTGCACATTTCACAACGTATTTCCATAAAAGTTAGCACAGGTTATTTTCTAAAGCAAAAATATAATCTCCGAAGAAATTGTTCAAATCGGTTAACTATAGCATATAGCGGCCATACAAACTAAACAATCGGAATCAAGTTCATGTATGGAAAACTTTCACATTTGACAAGATATGTTCACGAAATTTGGTATAGATTATTTTTTGAGGCAACAGTGTAATCTCTGAAGAAATTGCTTAGATCGGTTAACTATAGCATATAGCTGCCATACAAACTGAACAATCGGATTCAAGTTCATGTATGGAAAACTTTCACATTTGACGTGGTATCTGCACGAAATTTTACATGGATTACTGTTTAAGGTAATAATATAATCTCCGAAAAAAATTTTCAGATCGGATTACTATAGCATATAGCTTCCATACAAACTGAACACATAATTACTAACAGAAATGCACCTGTGAAGGGTATTTAGCTCCGGTGCAACTGAATTTAACGTGTTTTCTTGTTTTTAATATCTTTTATTTATACCCAAATATTTTTTAAAAGAAGAAAAGAAGGTTTCCTCCCGATATCTAGCACTGTCGCAAGTCTCAATATACATAGATACATAACTACAGACATGTATATATACAAATAAATATACATATATGTATGTATGTATTAAACGATGTCTGTGATGCTTTTAAAACTTATCGACTAGAGCGACACTGAGACCAACAACCTCAAACCCATATTTATTAACCTCTTCGAACTTTTTGTTTTTTGTTTTTTGAGCTTCAAAACTCCTTATCATCAATAAATTAGATTCGACAGGTTTAATGGCAGATAAATGTAGGAACATACATACATATGTAGATATACAGGATTGCGACTCTTTTCGCTTACAAACTACATACCTCCTTATTCTTGTAAAGAATACAAAAAGCAAAACTGTGTTAAAAGTTCTTAACTAAAATCTTTGTTGCTATTGTTGCTTAAAACATTTATCAAACTAGATTTTTTGACTGTAGCTGAAATATTGGGGCACTCCACTCCCGATAATGCCTCCTTGCTGCAGTGGGCAACTAATTTTTTCGACATAATATACGAAATCTAGAAGAATATACGAGCATTGGGTAGCGTAGAAATCAAACTGAGCTAAAATCGTGCACTTTAGGATTTTCCGTGTTATAAACCACACATTACACTGCAGCTTTACAGAGTAATGCGTACGACCATTCAAACTACTATTTTCGTAATCCCAACCGTCTTTTCGAGCAGAGAAAGTGCAACTTTTGTTGAAACACAAAAAAGAAGAAGTCAAGAGCCTTAATTTGTCGCCTTTAAATTTTGTAATCTTCAAATCAATTCAAGTATAATTGATGTAGCTTTAGCGGTTTTGGAGTAATGTACATTAAATCATTTAGGGGGAGCGGCACGCCCACTAAAATTTTTCTACCCACAGGTGTCGGTTGCTACTGTGATCCCTTCTACCATATTACGAGTATACCGCACTCGGTTGGGAATGAATATTCACGCTCTGCGCTCTAAGCCTTCTACATGCATACATACTTAAATATATACACACAGAAATACATTCATACAAACATATTTATATACATATATTACATTGTATTTTATTCTATTTCGGGAGAAATCACGCGACATTGCAATTTCTTTTCTATCTATTCTGTTTTGCTTGTCGTCATAAAATTCTACACAAAATACAACAAAGCAAAAAACCAAACGCAAATCAAAGAAAATAAAATAAAAGCTTTGAAGGCAGCTTCAGCGACACCAGACTTGCAAAGCAAATACCAAAGCACATGTAGATAATAGACATAACAGCTGATTAGGTGAAAAAAGCAAAAGCCAAATACAAATAGACGCCTCTCCGCTCCAAACAACGGCTGAGTCACTTTGAAGGTTGAGAGAGGCTTGACTTGATTTCATAGCTTGGCATAGCATATTATTTGCTTAATTTAAATTGCACTTGCTGTTGTTACTGTTGTTGGATTTGATTTTTGCACGGTTCTTAGTTGTTATTGTTTCCGAAAATTTATTTTTCATGCAAATTTTTTTTTTGCTAAATTTATAACGCCTTATTTGTTTATTGAATAATATGTTTGGGCATCCGCGAGTAGTTGGAATATTTTTTATTTTGAATATACTAAATCTATGCATGTGTGTACGTATGTATATGTGTAGGTGTAATTAATGATTCGAGACTTTACCGCTTTTTTCATATATGGAATATACTACAAAAAAATTGCTAATGCAGCAGTGCAGGTGGCAGAAGCCTGATATACAAGTATAATAGAATTCCAGTTTCAAACTTTAATTAATTTTTGCTGGAGAATGAAGAAAAAAGGAGTAAACAATTAACTTATCTATGTATGTATGTACATATTTGCGCCAAATTGGATAGCTTTGAGCTTTGTTAAAAGACCTTACTTTTGAGATATCGATCAGACTTTACACATCTTTTTTGTCCAATTCTCAAGTTCCCGATTTTTTTATCCGCTCAGGGACTGTCAACTCGGCCGAATTTTGGGGCTAAAACAACAACAGCAGGATTTTATATGGCGGGAGGGGGCAGAAACGGATTTCATTTCACTAGATATATTCACAAAATTTGGCATAGACATTGTCCCAGGTATTGCTACAATCTCCAAACAAATTTTAATTTTAATTGAGTCGCTTTTATTATATAAAATAAGTATGCAATGTATAATTCCCGTTAGGATGGTAAGGATTTGATAAGTTTTCATCGGGGTCATCCAACGGTAGGCCCAGGAAACACGCTGTTTCGACACGGACCGACCATAAGGAGAAGAGCGTCAGGTATGTAGGGTAAGCTGGGTATGCAAAGAGGTACTTAGAGTCGTGCGGAGACTCGTTGGATGCCGACCATATTGGTATGTCGAATTCGGTTCTGGATAAGCAGGAGTTTAACCTGCTGCAGTATCCTCAACGAAGCAGCCACTAGAGCTCTTCTTCGTCTGCAATGGGTGGTGATTTGAATTCAAGTTCGCCATTCACTCAGAGGAATCGGTGAAGGTGTTGAAAGCTCCACGGTCATTATGTTAGTTATGTATGTTGGGTCCATAGTCTGATCTGCGTATTGAGTTATGTCGTCGACATAGTTGCGGAAGAGGTCACTAAATTACACATTAAACTTATAATAACTGCTACAACAACTGTCACTTTATGGAGTATAAACTTTGTGACTAAAATCACAATAATATACAGAACCTAAAGGCATGATTGGTCAGATTTTACTTCTTACTAAAAATGCACATAGAAGAATGGAGCATGGTGTACGGTGTCTACGCCAATAAAGAAGAATAAGAAGAAGAAGAAGAAGAAAAATTTATGCTTTTCATAAGTTTTCAACAGGGCCGCATAGACATTCATCAGAAATTTTTGGTTAATTACCAACAACAACTTCAAAATATAATTTGATGACTGTTTAATTATGTAGAGGTTTTATTTTGTGCAAAAAATTTTCAATGACACAACCAAGCAAGTGTTGTAGGCAGGCGGGGCACAAGAAAATAAAAATACCTATTAGCGTTAAACGATAAGATTATGCAAAAAATAAAAGTATTTTGCTTAATTTCCAGGCTGCATGCAAGCAAAACGATATATGTAGATACATATGTACATATATATTTGCAAATAAAGTTTGAACATTGATTGGCAAAGCGATAAGTGCGAAAACATGACAAAATGTGCCAAAACGCAGAAGGTGTAGGTTAAATAAAAGAAAATGTAAAAAAATGCGATAAGCTTTTGGACAACGCTAACCAATTTACTGCTCGTAACTAATGCAACAATCAACTGTGGCAAAGCGCGCCCACAAGTTTGCACACATTCATTCAGCAATATAATTGCACTGCCATATTTGATTAGTCTCACACGTAGGCATGGGCTGTGGACAACATAATAAATAAATAAACATTTCGTTTTAATGCATAAATGATGGAGAGCACTTCGAAACGTCTAGGTGTTTTTATTAAAAATAGTGTCGGCAAACAAGCTCAGGTGCTAAACGCTTATCAGCGGCCAAGCGCTGTTGCTGATAGCGATAAAAACAAAGCGGTGCGCATAGAGCGCGAATAAAAAGTAAAACGATTTGTATGCACCTACACCTTACACATTAACACTTTTACGTTCGCATGCGTGTGTGGGGAAAAAAGCACTTCGGCGTTAAACCAGTTTGGCCCTTCAGAAGGGTGCGTTCATATCGGAACATTTATGAATATTGTTTGCAAGCACTTTGCCCATAGGCAAGCCTTGGACTTTGTAGCTGTTGTTTCTTTTATACGATAAAATGCGCGCACGCTTGTATGTTTACCATGCGTTTGTGACATGCTGGTTTACAGAGCACATTTAACAGCCGAAATTTTCCTTCCTTTTTAATGATTTTTCTGTATTATTTGTTGTCTACAAAACCAGCCGCAATGTCACGTGTAGGGTGAATGGTCTACACGGCATTGCCGCTCACTACATGCATGACTGTGAGTACTGATAGAGCTGCTTCTTACCACACTGAACACTTTATATATAGTGTTGTTAGTGATTTTGGATAACTGACAGTCTGGCTGCCTTGACAAGCGTATTGACTTAATTATACGAGTTTTTTTGTTGTATTGCATGCTGTTTTTATGACATTGAATTGTAAAATAAACCACAACTAGCCAATATTAATGATGTTTATGTGTGTTTGTGCGAATAATACTAAAAATAATGTTTGCGTTTTTATAGATATAAATTTTTAAAGGAGACTTACTGCTTTAGTGAAGCTGTAATTTGATTCATCCGATAACGTTGATGTTTTATTTCGTTGAAACATTTCTGCTGATGACTGTGGAGTTGTTCCAGCAACTCAATATATCGGCGATTGCAATCCTATGATGAATGAGAAATGCGGAAAATATTTAGTGTTTTATTAATATTTGGTTTAAGTTATCAAGAATATTGATAAGCAAATCTAGAAGTTTGAAACTAAGCACATGCTTATTCATTTATACATTCTATGTAGATATTTGGATTGACTTTCATATGAAGTATTCCCGGTAGTCATATGAAGTAGTATTTGGTGGAAAGTTTATTTCTTCTGTTATATTCAACAAAACAAATTTACGAATTTCACACGAGTTATCGAAAAAAGTTTCATTGAAATTTCCACCACTATTTTATACTAGGCACGTGTATTATTTACATTACGTTTTTCATTGCACGATAAATATGCAATTAAAATGTAAGCTTATTGATTATACACTAGACAGGTTTATTAAATCTGTACAAACTTGCACTAGTCCCTCAGTATTTGATACAGCGTTCAGAAATTTTTACAGAAAATGGTTTTATTTGACCAGATATATTTACGATATTTAGCATAAATTATTATCCAAGGCAGCACTATAATTTGCTAACAAATTATTTGGAACAGATTAGTATAGCATATAGGTTTCACACAAACGGAATGATTAAACTCAAGTTCTTGCATCGCAATGGTTTTGTTTCTGAAGGGTATTTTAGCTCCGGCGCAATCGAAGTTAACGTTTTTTGTTTTCTAATTGCAATAATTTTGTTAATATCTCAGATATGCATACATTAATATGCGTATTATTTATATTGCAGTTTTTTTTAAATATCATAGAAAAAAAAAATAATAATAATAATTAAACTGAATCTCAATAAGCGTAACAAAAAATTTGCATAATAGTCGGACCGGAAATTTAACGAAAGGTCAAAATACATCAATAATATTGAAAGCAAGCCATAATAAATATTTTTTGCAACTTCCGTAAAGAAGATGAAGTGCATACATATGTATGTATGTATGTGAAGGTCGTTTTTTCCTTCATAGTTAAAGTGCTCTTTAAAGTTTCGCAATGCACCTTTATTTGAAAATTATATTGCGTTTGCTTTCTTGTATTGTTTGGATTTAACAATATAGCAAATAGTGTGCAAAGTTGTTATTTGAGTTAAAACGCTTAACGGAGTTTCCAAATTTGTCGCTGACAGTGACTCATAATTTTTTTAATTTAAGAGCGAATGTGTTGCAATTCACTTTTCGTGCTTTGTGTCTGTAAGTAGTTATGCGTACATAGAAGCGTTGAACTCGTTATTTTATTTAATTTTGTATGCATGTAAGTGTTGAAATATGACAGCAAAATACAATAAATATTTAATTATATATTTCCTCATTCTATAACCCTAGGCCACAATATTTCATATGCAACAGTTGTTGACTTTTACTTTTACTAAAACAATTTTAAGCGAAACATTACTTCTACTTACCTCGAGTTCATTGTACTCTTTGGTGAGTTCGTCCCACTCGTTTCGCAATGTGTCTATATTCATTTTGTCCTTCTGTACTAGCGCACTCCTTTCATGTAAAATTTTATTAACTCACCACGAGGAAGCAATGCGACTTCTTGACTGGGGCAAAGTCGAACAGAGCATAAAAGGAAATGCGGATAACTTCTTGGTTGTGAAGCAAGAGTAGGTAGGAGTGGATTTGTTGCGCTAATAACACTTTGTTTACAAACTGCCAGTTTCACAGCCAAGCAAATCAAAATCAGCTGCTTGAGTTTGAGGTAATGTGCGTGTGTAACAGCTGCCGACCACTGGAGCAGTAGTGGGAACTTTCGCTTGTTATTTTACCGTCTTCAGTTTTAATTAATTGTATTGGAACTGTCTGACCGAACCGAGAAATAAAAGAGAATAAATAAAATGAAACACCAATGCTAACGTTATAGCCACAAGGGGTTGAAGAACCGGTTAAATAAAAAAATAAAGAATTAATACGAATTTGAACGTTTATTGTGGAGAGTAGCGTATACACACGTTTAATATCAATAAAATAGCGCGTATTTAGTAGTTCCAAAAAATGTCTGTTTAGGAACTGTAGTCGCAATACCCTACATATGCTCGTATGACTTTTCAACTATGCGGTTGTGTGACGTGGGTAGACGACAACGTCAATAGCTTTACACGTTTCGATTTTCTTTCTTTTTTATACGTTTTATTGTCACTTCCGTGGGCGACGCACAACTATTCAACAACACTTACGTGTGAAAGTTGAAAAAAATTTCTTGTATTATCACGTCACTACGAAATTCATATATTTCCAGCTATGTACTGTAGTGGGCGCACTGCTTCTTTGACCGCTCGCTAGGAGCACTACTAAACAATTGATATTTTTAACAAATTTTAATAGTGAGTTTACTTTGTTTTCTTGTGCGACGTTTGCTTGGACAACAAGCGCTCATGGAGCACACTCACGACGTGCACATCTGTTGAAATGCTCACGCCACTCTATCCGCTCAACAAAATACATTCGTCGATTAGATAAATAATTTAGCATATAGCTGATTTGTATTGTATAAACATTTATAATATAGAAGCTCCAGCATATGTAGACATCGCTTGCTCCATGCGAAGCCACGCTAGAAGACGCACAGCCAGTCAATTTTTTAATGATTCATTTTCGGCTCTCTGTATTTCTGTAAACCACTGTATTTATTGACTCATTTTCACTTTTAACACACGATTCCACCCTATAATATGAACTTTTGGGCACGGTTTCCTAAAATGTATGTTATTTCCCATTAATAAATCGATTACTGTAGCAATTTACCTTCAGAAAAATGTTCACGCCGGCGATTTCTGCGCATTCTTTCTTTTTTGTCGCTTAATTTCTCATTTTCGCTTTCCCTTTGTTGACAGCTGTTGCTATTTCAGTCTCTTGTGTGCCTGTCATGCTGACATTCGTAAGTGCCGTGTTTCGTGGTGAGTATAACTAGTCCGCTTGCCAAAGGTGGTGGAAAAATTTAAATGCTTTTCTTTTGCTTGAATGGAAATATATATTTTAAATATTACGGAACCGGATTAAGTGCGGTGTAGCCACTTCAAGAATTAATGGGAAACGAAATTGAAAATTTATTGTCATTTCTATATTGAACAAATTATAAAAATAAATCCAAAACAAGAAAGCGAATAATTACTCTCTAATAACGGTTGTTGTTGTAGGAGCACAACGCTTTCAGCAGTGAATCAAGGTATTGCAAGAAGTTTGTTGTTGTAGCGGTTAAATATACCTTGTTTAGGTGGTAAGTCGCAAGTTATTTGTCACCAAATTCATCAAATGGGAGTCCCAGGAAAGAAGCTGTTTCAACGGGTAGGTTCATAAAGAGAGGGGTATTAGATATGGAATTAATAGGGTATGCATAGAGCTAGCTGTAGATACCATGTAACGTTAAATATTAGGGTTCTATTCTGGGTAGGTAAGTATTGAACCCTCTACCGTATCCAGAACGAAGTTGCGCAAGGATCACTCTGGTTTCAAGCGGCAACTCGAGCTCACGGCCAGCGATTGGTGTTATTTCAAGAATGATTTCTACGAAAGAGTTTTTGCGGAAGCTTATTTTAGGAGGTGTATAGTGTTCCTTAACCGGAAGCATTAAGTTGTCATTGAGCATGCGTTCGATGGGACACATCAAAAAGCAATCTGTTACTGTATGAAAATTTGACACATCTGATTCTTCAGCAAACATTCTTTCGTCGAGGAAAAACACGAGTTTTGCCAAAATTATCGTTTTATTATTTGAAAAAAAAGCATATAAAACTAGATATTTAATACCAAAAAACTAAACTGGAAACTAATCTCTTTCGCCCTCATCTTACTCTTTGCGTCTAGCGCGCACTCTCAATGCTATATACGCGGATATCCGAAAACCAACAATGAGCAAAGCCAATCCAATAAAATCGAATGGTAAATCACTTGCCGAAAAATTCAAGGTCTCCAGTATAATCTCACCTGAGCTGGGACAGGTGGTATTCGATGAAGTGCAGGTAATTTCGCCAGGTTTTACATCAGCCCACTGGTTGATTAGTAATCCCTCATTGGCATAACGGAACCATGATAAATACGACAGCCACTTGAAGTACACCGGCACCGAGCCGGAGTTTAAAAAGAAGCCGCCGAAAAGTAGAAATGGTATGATAACAGGTGGGCCCACGGAGAGCGCCATTGATGTGGACGAGCAAGCGCACGAAATCAAATAGCCAAACGATGTCGAAACATTGGCAACCAATGTAACAAGCGCCAGCGCTGTTAGAAAATGATCAATACCAGGACGCAAGCCAATCATTGGATAAGCGATGGCTGTAAAGAGCAACGGTACAATCAAGAAGAGTGGCAGTTCAGCAATTGTTTTCCCGAGGAAGTAAGTGTCACAGCGATAAAGTCGGCTGCGCGTCTCACGTATGAATACAGGCAGTTCGGATGTAAAAACCTGTAAAATACGATATTAAGTTGGGCAAAAATGTGCAATATGTAGCTTACAGTTATGGTAGCGAAGGCATTCTGAAAGGTCATATTGGTTAAAAATAGGAAAATGGCACCGTTAATGTTCATCACACCGACTTGAGTTAATTGTTGTCCCAGAAAGATCAGTCCAATGAGAACAGCAACCATCTAAAATGAAAGACATTGTATCAAGTCGCAATTTATCTATTTTAACGGTATGGGGAAGTTCGTACCGTCGTTTGAAATAGGCGCACTTTCACTAATAACGGTTCCTTCAACACTGACAGCCACGAGCGCCAGAGGACCGCACGAAACTGCATAAACCATGAAGCTTTATACGTAAATCCATTCTCGTCCTCTTTGTTCAAGCCATTGGATTTTTCCAGTTTTTGAAAATTTTGCTCCATCTCGCGAGAGACCCTGTGCGGTAACGTTAGTATTAAGTATATAGAAGTGAGATTTTGTTTGCGAGCATAACTTACTTTCCAACTGCAAAATTATCACAAATTTTGGCTATACGGTCACGTGATTCCGCTTCGCGGCCAGGCACAACGGCCAAAACTTGTACGTAAAAATCTGCTGGGTTGTAATTATTCGGACATTGAGCGCCGATGCTAGGGAAAGGTGTTAAAATGATGAATAAATAGCATGCAAAGTTTGAAATTAAGAAAACTTAGGTTAGGTTCAGTTGAGTGAAATGCGGTCACTTACTACGAGAAAAAGTCTACTGCTTCGCCCGGTGTACCCAGAAAGGCGACTCTACCTTCAGCCATGAGCAATATTTTGTCAAAAAGTTCAAATAACTCAGAAGATGGTTGATGTATGGTCAAAATGACTGTTTTGCCTTTCTGCGATAGCTTCTTCAACACCTGTACGACGCTGTGTGCCATAAATGAATCTAAACCCGAAGTCGGTTCATCACAAATCAATAGTGGTGGATCCGTTAGCGCCTCCGAAGCAAATGCCAAGCGTTTACGTTCGCCACCGGATAAGCCTTTCACTCGACCTGGCACGCCAATCAAAGTATTCTGGCATTTTCCGAGCGAGAGATCTTGAATAACTTGATCCACACGTTGTATCTTTTGCTTTTTTGTCGTATGCCTCGGCATGCGCACCATTGCTTGGAAGATGAGATGTTCTCGTGCGGTGAGTGAACCAATGAAAAGATCATCCTGTTGAACATAAGCGCAACGTGCTTGCATTTCCTTGGCATCAATCGGATGACCGTTGAGCAAGCGTACGGTGGATGGAGATATTTGTACACCTTTCGATGAGCGAAAAGCAATCGCATTCAGAAGTGTGGTTTTACCAGCGCCAGAGCTGCCCATGACCGCTAGCAATTCACCCGGATAAGCGACGCCGGAAACTGGAAAACAAATTGAGTAGTTTGAGAGTGTAAAACGCGTGTAAAATATTAAATCTACTTAATTTGCGATTTACCGTTTTTCAAGAGGTGCTTGCGCGGCACAGGAATATGACGCTCATTGCATAAAACACCTTTTACACGATTCAACAGCTGTTTCCAACCCGTACCCGGCTGGTGCACAGCACCAAACACATCTAAATTATACCAAGAGTAGGTGAGATTGTCCGCGGTGAGTGTGGGCGATGGTGGTGAGAGTGTACCGTAATTTTTACTAAACCCCTGATTTATGGAAGACTGCTCGTAGGACTGCCCATTGTTCTGGAAAGTAAAAAAAAAAAAGTTGTTAGAAGTAATTTAAAATTATGTGCTAATTTATGCCTCTAGTGGCCATAAGGTGCACGAAAAATGGAGGCAAAATATTTAACTTATAAAATAACATTATTATTTATTGCTAATAACGTAATTTCAAACCTTCTAGCCCCAATAAGCCCAAACTCAAGCTGAGTTTATTTACGAAAGGAGTCTACAAGTTAGCGAGTTATCTGCTCACGAAATTATCTTAAAGTAGTTTCCATCCTCCAACCACCTTAATATATGAATAACGAAGTAATAACATAAATTAGCAGGTCCGAATGGTGCATAAGCCGCGTCAGCGCCTGCTAAAAGTACAAGTTGGATTTTTCTCGAAGAATTCTGCAATTTGTAGCACAAAAAAGCTGCTAACACCAAGGCATGTTCGGTTGTTGGCTCGCTGCCTGTTGGCGGTTAAGCAAATTTGTAAGCTTAACAGCGAAGAACTTCAAAGTAAAATGTAAAAAAATAAGCGAAACTGTTGGAGTAGGCATAAAAAATTCTATTTAAACACAAATCTTAAAAGTTCACTACATGCGAGCTGGTGGGCTGAAAGTTAGCTAAGGGGCTTAGGCTAAAGTGGCTACAAACATTAACAGATTGTTTCACAAATTAATTGGTTTAGGCACAAAGTTGTTAAGGCAAAGCAGGAGTATAAATACTGTCTGTCTGTGTTCGGCAAAAGTTAAAGGTTTGTGGTTAAAACGCTTCTTGTTACGTATTTCTTTGTTTAGAAATAGATGTAAATACATATGTTTTTTTTTTTTTTTTATAAGAAATACACAAGGAATTGCTAGTAAGAACTCAAGACTCTCATCATATTTGTGGGTTTCTTCTTGAAGCTGTGCCATAAAAGAAGGTTGCAAAATTTGTATAACTCCTTTTGTCTTTCATAGGCGATTTCTGGTAAAGGAAAATACATACACAAGCGTACAACTATTATAATTAGTTACATAACTTCAGTACTTAAGTTTTTGTGAATTTTTTAGAAGAGGTATTAACATGCATACATATATGTACATACTATGAACATTTGCAAAATTTAATTTACTTTAATTTATTTGTTTTGAAAAATTATAAATTCTTTAGATCTCAAATCCCGTCTCCAGGAGAAGCTCCGCAAAAATATGTCTTCCTTTAATTATTGGCTCATAATTTTAAGTCGATCGGTGCAGCCAATT